CGGGAGCCGCCAGCGGGGTGCGGATCCGCAGATTCGCCGCTCGGGGCCTGGCTTGGGTTTTGGAGGGAAAACGCAGGCGAGCTGGCTCACCCACGCAGCGCGCCCGCCGGCCCCCCGCGCCCAGCCTCCGCCTCCGCGAGCCAGGGCACCCCTGCCCCAGCCTGCCACCCACCCCTGCCTCACAGGCCCTTGGGCTACTCCTTTCGCCTGCCATCACCCCCATCCCCGCTGTGCCAGGCCACGCCAAGAGGAAGGGGAGCCCTGACAGAGCCGCAATGTGGCTCCCCTTAAAATAAATAATCATCATGGGGGGGGAAACCCCTTCGGCCTGACGCCACGGAGACCAGGAAGTCACAAGCAAGTCAGGACCCTCCTTTGGGACGCCGCCGGCTGCCACCTTCCACCTCCACGAGCTTTGCCCGTGGAGACGGCGCCGTTCGGGCTCATCGCGTAGTTTGAACATCCAAAATGAGACAGTACCTGGAGGGACTGAAGTCCAATTGCCGTAGCACCGGCTTTCGGGTTGGTTTTACAGCTGCGCGCGGGAGGCGCCTCGAGAAAGTAGCCGCCGTCGACCTAAATTATTTTAATCCCGCCGTCGTTTTTAGAGGTGACTTTACAGCCCGCGATGCGAGGTCTTCAGGCGTGACGTGGCTACGTCTGCATCGTCCTAGGGCAGCGGTCGCACGTCGGTGGCTGGCGCTCGGTTTTATTGGCAGCCCCGTCCGATTTTAGTTTCTGTAGACGCTTCGTTTTCCACGTCGACTGGTGCGTTCCAGGCAGTCCTCCATTTCAAACGTTCGAGTTGCACCCAACGTTCAGCCATTAACTTGTTTCGAATTTCTGACGTCAGTTTTGACTTTACAACGCTTGATCTGACGTGACGCCAGGCCAGCGAACGAGTTCGCCGCCGCATTGCCCTGGAGAACCAAAACCAAAGTGTCCAAAACTTGCTTGGACACTTTATTTAAGAAAGCAGACAAGACTCCAGAAAAACCTGCAGCCACGACTCCAGCCAAGAGCCCTTCAAAAAGTTCAACCAAGAGCCCTTCAAAAAGTCCAGCAAAGTCACCTCAAAGAAGTCCTTCCAAATCAATATGATTGCTATCAACAATATAAATACATTAATATAGCTGTATTACTTATCTATAATTGATTGAGTACAAAATTCTGGGTTATTTTTGGTGAAAACAGGGTATAGGGCCTTCATTCAGGAACCAATCCCCCATTTATAACAGTGTTCCTATGGGAAAATTGTTACAATATTTTGACTTAAGACGTGGTTTTTGGGAACCGGTTGTGTTGAAGTCCGAGGACTGCCTGTATTCGGGGTGCCAATGAAAGTAGGAGACTGCTGCTTAATGGTTTTCACCCTATCGTAGGTATACTGGACATCAAAGTCCCGACAGTGTTTCTACCGGCTGTTCCAATAAACTACAGTCAATGGCTCATAAAAGCCAAGACGTGTGCACATCTGCTAATTAGCATTAGTGCTAGTTTGCATTTTATGCTGAAGTTAAGACTGAGATGTGTAAACTTTTCCTCATGAAAAGCTGCAAGTAGAATTGTGCCCATTTGGATTGCATTACCAGCACCCTTGTGACATTTCCCTAAACTGGTCCAGCATTAGAAGAGAACCAGAACAATATTGGCAGCCAGCATCAATTAGCTATGTTTACTTGAAATTTAGCTCAAATTCTAATGGAAGAAATAGGTTTTACTTAACTCCAGAATATTTAATGAAATACAGTTGTGTGTGAACGCTGCTCTAAAAGTAACGTGATCTAAACCCATAACTTTGTCACAAGTGTACACACCATTTTCCCACTGAGTAAATGTCAACAGGCTTCCAAAGGGAGCAAAGGTGACAACGACTGACCACTTCTGAGGTGCCAAGTTTTCTCCACCTTCTTTCTTAATCCGTCGTGGTCTTCTTGCATACCATTGGAGATAGAAGAGTATCACCATCCAGCACCTGACAGTCGACCCAAACTCTCGTTCTCAAATTTTACCAGGTGACTGCCTCTCCTTTTCCAAGCACACAATACCCTAAGACTCATAAAAACAGTAGCTTCTCCAGTGATAGCTCACTGTCCTTTACTGTATGTTACACATCAAATGTTTTAGTGATTTGACTGATCAGCACCTTTTATAGTACAGTCTTCCTGTCAGTTTTATTCCAAGAAACTAATTTGACGGCAGAAATAGGATCAACTTTTGCCTAATTACATAAGTAGCTGTGAGCTCACGTAATACATCCTTTCAGCTTTAAGTGACCCGTGGAAATTTTAAATGCCATATTTCTGATTGATATTACTATGTCCTATCCATAGTACATGGCAATACTCAGGAAAGCCAATCCGGTTCCATTGGAAAGAGGCAAACTAAGCCAAGCCAACTGCCTAATCTGGACAGAGAGAGACAAAATCTTAAAAGATATTTTGAATGAACAAACCTGCACTTTAGAAAAGCAAAATGATCCATCTATAGGAGTAGATGCAACTGTACAGGATTAAGAGACCCAATTCGCTTTTGGTTTTCTGACTTGACAACTTGTTAGGGAAGCCCTAGCACAGTTTAAGACTTGAATGAAAGGCAGAATTACAAAACTCTATAGAGCTAAGATCCTATTTCACCCATCAGGCATCTAAGTGGACCTCAGTGTATAACTGCAATCCTATATTCAAGTCCCCGACAAACAGTTAACATAAAAGGGAATGAATCCTCTTGCTGCTTTGTGTGGTTTAGTCATCAGGGTAAGATGATGGCCTGTTACAAGGGTAGGTGCATTAATGGTTTTTCAAGGATTGTGGGGTGAAGAGTATCATACTCGGGCCCCTAAATGGAATAGGATTGGGCCCTAAATCACATTGGCAGTGCTTTCTTCTCACACACTCCAAAGGCTGCCTCGCCTAGTTCACTATTCTCTTTGAGCAGAACTTTTTAAAGTTCACCAGATCGTCCATCTAGGAGTCAGGACTAGCTGAATTCTATTCCACGCTCCCCTCTGTTACATTATTTAAACCAGAGTTTCTCAACCCATGGGTCATGACCCAAAAGTGGGTCGCAAGAATATACGAAAGGATCACGAACCACCTTTAAACAAACGGATCAACAAACTTTAAAAATGGATTCTCCTTTAAAAGGTGAAAAATGTGGGGAAATGTGGCTTTTCCCATGAAGGCTATCAGAGTTCCAGCTTGCAAGGGGCTCCTTAGGGTGCCCCCTGCCCCACACACTGGGGCCTGGGCAGGAGGCAGCGGGTCAGGAGTGAGGGGCACTGGGTCAGAACTGGCCATAGATGTTTACAAATGGGTCCTGGTACAAAAAAGGTTGAAAATCACTGATTTAAACCATTTCATTTCCCACTTTCAGTCCACTCCTCACCTGCAAAGCAGATATTTACTTGCTTTGGAAGAAATGTTAAAGGTCATTTACAATTAATAGTTTGACCTTTACAAATCAGTGCCAATGTTAATGCATCGGATCTCACAGGTTTCTTTTTTCCCTGCTTTCTTTCACACAAAGTATTCCAAGCCACTTGTGCCTTCTCTAACAGATAAAATGCTTCTTGTTTTAAGTCCACCATTAATAAAACCCTGTCTTCCCTGTACAACATGCTGCAGGAGGATGCCTCACTCTGCATTTTGCCTTCAAGGTATGTTACACACCCATGACAGGTCTTAGCTACATGAAGGAGCTACCCCATTCCCATAGTCAATGACTAGATGCTGCTGAAGCTGCAATTTGCTCTAGTGGAACTTACCCATCCGAGACCAAGGTGTGCACCAGTGTTACCAGCTGCAGCTTTCTTGGTTTATAACCAGTTTGTCCTGCACCAATAAACTATATTGGTGCTGGCCTGCAATCATCAGCCACAGGGCAGATTCCCAATGCGGATATGGCTAAAGGGACACAAGCCACAATCACCACAAAATACCAAAGTAAAGTACTTAAGAAAACGAGTGGCAGAACTGCAGACTTCTTGCTGATGGCTGCATTGAAACTGCTTCATTTAGATGCTGGAACACAGATTTTTAATTCTCCA